CTCAGGGATCCCCGGGGCGCCCCGTGGGCTCCCGCCTGCGCGAAGTCAGGGAGGACCTGGAGCGGGGGCGGCATCCGGGACTGTGAGAGGAACGCTGAACCCCAGGGCTTCTGGGGATCCCTGATGGAGGCGGAGATGGGCCCCGCAGCCGAAGCGGGGTCCTCAGAATCCTAGGTGGATGGGGAAACTCGGTCCCACGAACTCCGGGGTGGGGTTCCCGGACTCGTGATGGATGGAGAGACTCGGCTCCATTTTCTGCGGACTCCCCCAAGCCTGATCCATTGTTATGCTCACGGCTCTGTCAAAAATCTTGCATGATGAGAAATGTTAAGTCTTTGAGCCACTCTCCCTTCAGGGAGCCTTTCAGAGCAGGGAAACTGAAGCTCAGGAGGCAGTGGGAGTGACTTGAGGTCCTGCAGCTGCCCCAGGCCTGGTGCTTTACTGACTGGTGTTAAGTGAAGAGACAACACAGCGATGACAATTTAACAACACAGACCCAGCTCCGGGGTGGGGGGGGTGGCCACAGAGAACAAGCCAACCCTGTGAGCATCTTAAACACCACGGGGCCTGCCAGCAAGGGACTGTCACTCTTGTTATTGTGTGATGGCCCTGTGTGGGCACTGGGAACACATTTGCCAACAGGCAGACAAATCCTTCTGCCCTTGGGGCTTTCACTGTAGTGAGGGGTGGGGAGATGTAAAGTAAGGATATTGGGAAAGGGGCCTTTTGGTAGAATAAAGCAGGGAAGGGTGAGAGGTAGTGAGTGTGTGTGAGAGGGGAGAGAGAGGATGGTGAAATTTTGAACCTCACCCAGGAGGAGATGTGTGAGTCAAGATGTGGGGAAAGGGGGAGCCAAGTGGGCGTCAGAGGGAGAGCATCTCATAGCGTAACCTGGAACCAGCACCCAGCCTTGGTCTCTTGATTCCAGAAGGTGTCCATGGTCAGCCACAATTCCGTGGCCAGTGTTGAGGGGTGTAGGCAGCTCCTGACCTGGAAACCTTCCCTGGGGCCAGCAGGGTTTTGCCAGTGAGAATAGCTGGATCCCCACAGTGCAGGGGCACTGCAGAGGCAGATGGGCTTGGCACCACACAGGCACCCAGAGACCCCTTTGGGAGTCTACAGTCCTGGACTCTCCCAGCTGGAAGGACACCACTTCACCGTGAGTCATCCGACTGTGGATTTGGCAAACATTTGTTGATAAGCCCTATTTACCAGGTGTGAGGGACCCAGAGGTACTTCATTCAGTCCCAGGCACATTTGCTAGCGGGTGGAGGGGTGCGGGGCTCCCCTCTGCAGCTTTCCCTGGGCTGCTGGAGACTTCAAGTTCAGCTCCAACGTGCTTCCTGTGGCTGCCACTGTGATGGTTGAGACCTCAAGCTGTGGGACCTTGAACAAGTGGCTGTGCCTCTCTGGGCTTGCTTCCTCATCCATGAAATGCAGATTATAAGAGTACTTAACCCCAAACGGATATCGTGAGGGTCACACAGGCTCTTTCTCTTTTGTGGAAGTGCTGCTGACATCCTGTGAGCTCACTCCAGGTGCGGGTGAGATGAGCCTCCTGTGTGCTTCGCTCATTGCCTTTCTTTGGGCCTCAGTTTCCCCGAATGATAATGAGGGAAGTTGAAGGGAATCAAATTTATTTCCCAAGATGACTCTAAGGCAGTTGTAGACCTCTGCTCAGATGGTGCCAGGGGCCTCCTGTCAGCCTGGGGCAGCTCCTGCAGCTCTCTCCAGCCCATCTCCGTCCCTTCCTCCTCTCTCTTTCCTTGCAGGTTCTGAACACACCATTCACATTCTACTCTCCAGGCTTTTGCAGTTCTGTCCTCTCACTTTGCCCTTGTTCAGCTCTGGCTCGTCTCCCCCCACCTCTCCCCGCTTAATGACTGAAATTTTGTTTCTTTAGAGCAGTATTAGGTTTACAGATAAAAATAAGCAGAAGTACAGATTTCCCCTGTATCCCCCATCACGCAGTTTCCCCTCTTATTAACATCTTGCATTAGCGTGATGCATTTGTTATAACTGATGAGCCAATACTGATACATTCTTCTTAACTGAAGCCCACAGTTTACTTTTGGGTTCACTCTTTGTGTTGTAGGTTCCGTGGGTTTCAACAAATGCATAGTGATGTGTATCCACTGTTACAGTATCAGACGGAAGAGTTTCACTGCTCAAAAAATCCACTCCTCCCTCCCTGCTAAGTCCTGATTAGGTTCCACAGTTTTGCCTTTTCCAGAATGTCATATAGCTGGAAACACACAGGATGTAGCTTTATCCAACTGGCTTCTTTCACTTAGCAGTAGGCATTTAAGATGCCTCCCTGTCTTTTTGTGGCTTGATAGCTCATTTCTTTTTATCAGTGAATAGTATTTCATGGTATAGATATACCAAAGTTTATCCATTCACCTATTGAAGGACTTCTTGGTTGCTTCCAGTTTGGGGCAACATAGTTGCTCTTGAATCTGTATGGACTGTGGCTGCTCTGAAGATTCATGTGCAGGTTTTTGCCTGGACATGTTTTCAAATTAATTGGATAAATAAATAACTGGGGCCTCAACTGATGGGCTGTAGGATAAGACTATTTTAGCTCAGTAAGAGACTACCCTACTGTCTTCCAAAGTAGCTGGACCATTTGTATTCCCACCAGCAAGGAAAGAATGAGCATTCCTGTTGCTCCACATCCTCATCGGCATTTAATGGTGTTGCTCTTTTATATTTCAGTCATCCTAATAGGCATATGGTGGTATCTCATTGTTTTAGTTTGCAATCCCCTGATGGCATCTGACATTGTATCTTTCCACATGCTTATTTGCCATCTGTATGTTTTCTTTGGTAAGGGGTCTGTCAGATCTTTGTTCCCATTTTAAACTGGGTTGTTTGTTTTCTTATTGGGTTTTGAGACTTCTTTGTACATATTGGACACTAGTCCTTTATCTGGTAGGTGTTTTGCAAAGACTTTTTCTCCCCAGTCTGTGATGTGTCTTCCTATTCTCTTTATGGTGCCTTTTGCAGAGAAGTCTTTCATTTTAACAAAGCCTAGCTTACCAGGATTTTCTTTCATGGATTGTACTTTGGGTCTTGTATCTAAAAAGTCAGTGCCAAACCCAAGGTCCTCTCGGTTTTCCCCTGTGTTATCATCTACAAGATGTACAGTTTTGCATTTTATATTTAAACGAGTGATCCATTTTGTGTGAATTTTGTTTTTGTTCGGTTAATTTTTTGTTTTGCTTTTTACATGTGGATACCCAGTGGTTCCAGCCCCATTTGTTGCAAAGGCTGTCCTCAGCTCATCTTACTGTGCATTTCAGTATAAATGTGGGGTTTCCAGGCTCCCCTCTCCCCGTACCCATACTAGCCCCTCCCCAGGCCCTATAGTTCCTTCCTCCACTCTTTTTTTTGGTTCTACAGCACTTTTCACCATTGGTCATTATTTGTATCCACCTTTTGCCTTTTTTCTGTCTCCCCAACAAACAGCGTGTGAATCACAGGGAGGGTGGGAGCCATGTCTATGCTGGATTCATTGTGTTTGTCAAGCCTGTGTCTTGCAGCTCCTCAGAGGGACTTCTGTGGGTGGCTCTCTGCTCCTGCAGGATAGTTGGCACTGTCTCCTCTTCACTCAGCCTCCTGTGGACCTTCCTTATCACCATGGGTGGTCATAAGTTGAATGTGTCCCCCGAAGAACTGTCCAAGTCCCAACTCCTGGTACCCATGAAGGTGACTTTAATTGGAAAGAGGGTCTTTGCCGATGTAATTAGGAGTCTCAAGATGAGATCATCCTGGGTTAGGATGGGCCCTAAATCCAATGAGGTATCCTGAGAAGAGAAAGGACAGAGAGACACAAACACAGAGAAGGCCACGTGAAGGTGGGGACAGAGATTGGAGTCATGTAACTACAAGCCAAAGAACACTGAGGATTGCCTGGGGCCACCAAAGACCAGGAGGGAGGCCTGGGATGGATTTTCCTTCAGTGCCTCATCAGAGGGAACCAACCCTGTTGCCACCTTGATTTCAGACTTCTGGCTCCCAGACCTATAAGAGAACACGCTGTTGTTGTTTTAAGCCACTTTTATTGTGACAGTCCCAGGAAGCTCACACATCATGGGAACCAGCTGTTCTCCCCCCTGCCTTTTTTCCTCTTCAGTAGGGAGCCCCTCAAAGGCAGGGGCCTCCCTTGATTCATCTCCGTGTCCCCCAGGCCCAGCTGTGGACCTGGTGTTGAAACAAACATGATGTGAGGAGGCTGGCCACCCACTGAGGACCTCCTGAGGCAGCATGAGACACTTCAGCAGAACGCCCAGTAAACGGAACCGACAGCCAGAGCCACCCACGAGTGGAAAGAACGTGGATTTT